AATTAATAAATAGGCTAATAAATATCCATAAATTAATAAAAATTGAATGATGGAAACTTACACCTCTAAATTATGTATTTGAATATATTCTGGCAATGGTTGGATGGGAACCCAACCTAAACGGACAACAATTCTTGCAACATTTATGTCCACCTTAATATTAACAAAAAAAACAATTATGTTATATACACAAACATTTTTTATATACAATTTAAAAATAATTAATTTGTATTTAATAAAAAGAATTACCGGAAAAGCAGTGTGATGGAGGGCTAAAAGTCTAATGCACTCAACACTCTTTAATCCCAATCCTCCTATGGCCAACAGATATTCTCTATAACAACAGTGATTATGTTTATAATTAATAAAGTCATAATCATAAATAAATTTTTAAGAAATGAAATAAGTGTTTTAAACTTACTTTACGTGTTTTGGTGGAGCATATCTTAACCATTCCAAGTCTAGGCTTCCGTTGGATTCCATCAAACTCTTAAGTAAATCCTGTAAAAATAATTTATAACAAAATGATTATTTTATTAATAAGAGAATGAAATTAAATAAAATAATAAGAAAAAAAGGTGATATACCTGTATTCTTTCTCCGATGATATTATGCTGACCTCGAGCTGCTATAGTTTGTGCAACTTCTCTTGGTTTTGCAACTCTCACTGCTTCCCAATCCACAGAATCCATATAATCTTCACTTCGATAATTTTTAGTATATATTTTTCTTAATAAATCCCAATATTTTCTCTTTTTTCTCATCTCTTCTTCTTCTTCTTTTGTTTTCTTTCCCTTTGACTTTTTCTCATCAACAACGTTTGTCTCTTCACTTCTTCCATTAGTTGTTCCTTTATCATCAATTTTGATAGAACTTGACTCATTTTTATCTTCATCTTCTTTGTTTTCTTTTTCATCTTCTTTGTTTTCTTTTTCATCTTCTTTTTCTTCTTTTTCATCTTTTTTTTCTTCTTTTTCCAGATTCCTTTCTTTTTTCTCTAAAGAAAACTTTGAAGCAAGTGACATGAACGCGGAGCTTCACGAAATATCATAAGTAAACAATAAATAAGCAATTTGAAATCAAGGATTTAAATGGGTTTGTTTAAAAAATTATATATTTCATAAACATTTTATAATAAAATGAAAACATAAAATTATTCTTGTTCGTATAATAAATTTCTTAGACAAACGCATACATTAAACAAAAAATAATTAACTTTACCTTGATAAATAGTCAGCCACATTTTGTGTTAAGAAGACTCCTACCACAGAATCCAAAACTGAACCTTTCCATGGTAGAAAACGTCTATCTCCTGTCAAGTTATCACCAACCAAATAAAAAAAATAAAAACAGTATCAAATTTGCTATCATTAATAACGCAAAAAAAAAACTCCATATGCAAAACAATAATAAAATAATACATAAATAACAAAATTTTTCCATTTTATAAATTTATTATGGGTAATATTTTTTTCTCACATAGAGAGAAACATAATAATATTATATTTTGAATTTGGATAACACGATTCCATAAAATAATTGGTATAAATTATAGCTTCTTAATATATAGTGTAACAAAATTAAAATTTTGAATAAAAAGTAAACAAAAAGTTTATCAATTGTAATACTTTACCAATATAGTCCGACTACAAAATTAATACCTTACACACATATTCTATGTTAATATTAAAAGTAACTCTCAATTAAGATAGTAATTATTAAGCCAATAATGTTTTAATAACAAAATAAATGTTTTAATGGTAGACACTAAAATATTATTCAAAAGATTACCTGTAGAACATGTTTTAGAAAAATACATGAATTCTTCTAGATATTTTGAAGACTATAGTCGGTAAGGTTCTGTTTCTATAAAAGTTAATCTTCACTAACAATAAATAGTTAACACAGCTAAAACATGTTATGTTTCCTTATGAACTGAGAGTTTGTTAAATAACATGTTTAATTTCTATTATTTTAGCTTAGTTTTAAACAAACTCAATTTGACAGGGATGACTCTCTATTCTAAACGGATACTTTAGTTGTCCATGAAAATAGAACTCATGACAATTGATATCTAATTAATTAAAATTAAAAGGATTCTCTCAGATTTCCAGTTAATTTAATAAAATGAATAAAAAATATTTGGATAACTATGAAACCAAAAAACAAAAACAAAAACAAACCTTGAATGAAATGCATGTGATCTATGAATGATTCAACCTTGCATTGATATATTTTTCTGATGTTTTCCCAATATTTTCTCTTCATCTCATCATTCTCATCATGCCCTTTTTCCTGCTTCAGCAAGTTCCACACTCTTGATGTTTCCTCATCAAGTAAACTATCATTTAAAGCTGACTTTTTGTAAAGAACCAATTTTCCAGAGTCTTTGCAGTTATCAAGCTCATTGATCTTTTTACTTTTACCTTTTTTCATCAAAGAAGAAAATTTCTTGATTCTATTTATCAGCATCTTATTCTTGAAATTGCTATCATCTACACTGAAATCTACCTTTTGTCTTCTCTTTCTAGTGAACCACTTTGATCTCCTTTTTTCAACAGGGGTCAATAATTTTAGCAAATGCAATCTTCTTTTAAGGACTCTCTTTTTCTTGAACAAGAATGGAAATTCTGATCCAATCTGTTTCTCTTTTAGTAGACATAAACCTGATAAAGATGACATTTTGTGATAACTTTGCACTGAATTGTGTTGAATGCCTATTTCGTTGCTAGCATTTGAAGAATCTTCATCGAACAACTGCCTCTCGCAAGAACCACCCCTTCTTATGTTATTTTCTCTTTGTTCCGGGGTTGAAGGTTTTGGAGTCTTACTTTTGACTTGAGATTTTTTTCTTCTTTTAGGTATTTGAGACACCAATTTAGGTCGAAACACCTTCTTTTTACCTTTGCTGGGCAATTGATCATTAGTATCTTCCCTCTTCTTTCTCTTCTTTGAAAAAGAAGGTAAACCAAATTCATCTGGGTAGAAAAAAAAAGAGTTAAAACATTAAAATAAGTATTTTTAAGCTTATATATAGAAATGAGAGATTTTTATAAAGGTAAAACCGTTTATCAATGATCATGGGAAGCACAATTCTGCACAATTATGTTCATTAAACCAAATCACCACAAAGCAAAGCATGCGCTGTTCCTTTAAAAACCATATTGGAGTACCGCAAAATCCATAAAAAGCTATTAAAAAATGCAGATAACTTCATTTTAAGCTCAAACTTGTAAATATATATTCAGCTAATATGCCAAAATGATATGACCAATTACAAAAGCAATGTAAACACCTAAATTTCTCACCTTCCACATCTTTATAAAAGAATACAATTTATAGTTAAACCATGAAAAATTAAGAATTGAGCAACAGTACCTCTGACATCATGTTCCATATGGAGTTTGGACTTTGCAAAAGTCTCAGAATTGGATGCATCTTTGTTTTCAACATTCTTCATCATATGTTCTAAGTATGGATGATTTTGGAGTGGAATAGTGTGGTAGAAACAAAGATAAAACCTTAAGATTTGATGTCACTTGTTTATCTCCGAATTTGAAAGTCAGTTAAGATTATAATACTAATATTTATTTTTAATTTATATTTTTTTAAACAAATTGGTATTCTATATTTTCTTAATATTCTAATATTATAATAACTATATTTTGTGTTTTTTCTAATATTATATCAATTATTAATTATTAATTTAAATTTAGTTTTAGTGATACAAGACTTTAAATTAATGCCGGTTTTTATTTTTGTTTGATTGAAAGATAGATATGAGAATTTATTAAAACCATAATATTTCAGTTTAAATTTTAGTATTTAATATTATAATTATAACTTGTATCTTTTGGAATATGATAATAATTATGAATTATTATTAATATATTTCTTTTTATTATAATCTTAATAAAAATTAATAATGTTTATTCTATATTTAAAGTGATATCTAACCGGTTATATAAGTAACTCTATGTGTCTTAGGTGGTATAATGACTTTAGGTAGCACAGCTCATTTCTCTCATTTAGAACTAGACAAAATAGACATTGATATGATTATATGTTTGCATTTTATAAAATTAAAAAATAATTTTATTTATTATTAAATATTTCAATTAATAATTTATTAAAAAAATAAACTATTTGAAAATTTAATTGGTCCTATTCGCTTATTGAATGTAAAAATATAAAAAGATAAATTGATTGAAACATGTATAAAAATTAATTGTATTTAGAAGGTAGTTGTTTAAAGGCTTAAACATATATTTTACTGTTTCGAAAAAATTGGATGTGTCTAACTAATTATTATTTTTTTTACGTGGTGAATGATTTGTACGTTGTTATATATTGTTAATTTTTTTTTCTGATGTTCCTTAGTTAATAATTATTAAAAATATTAAATTTATATAACTTATTTTTATATTTAAATTCTTGTTAAATAAATTAGTTTGTTAAGAAAATAATATTTAAACAATTTAAAAATAAAATAATAAGATAAAGGTTGTTTTTATTCTCATTAGAATAAAAGTACAAAAATCATTATTATTTCCAATGTTTTGATCTTTTCTTTAAGAGAAATACTGATATTTTTTTTAAAACAATAAAACTTAAATTGAAGAATAAATTTAGATATTTTAATTATTGTATCAAACAAATTTTAAAACTGATAAATATTATAGGATTTCTATATCTCTTTTGAAATCAACAAATGATTTTTCTATTAAAATGACATTTTTTTATTATTAGTGAGATATTTTATATATGAAATATAACCTTTGATAAAAAAAAATTCAGTCAGAGTATAAAAAATCCAAATTATTCATATTCATATTATTTTAAAAGGTAGATGTTTAAATTATTTTTCATCTGAATTTTTAAATACAGTTATACTATTGGATACCGAAACAATTATTTCTAAAATTATTTTTTGAATTTGGAAAATGAAAATTCAAGTAAATTTCTATTAATGCAAGTTATGAATTGATTATAAAAATTCAGAAAAATTATTAAACTTAGTCTGTGACTACCAATCACAGCAGAAGGTGGTGCTTCTAGATTCTGATGGATTGGAATTGATCTCAACTCATAAAGTTTTAAAGAATATCAGTGATGAAGCTGCGTGTTATGTGTTATGTGTTATGTGTTATGTGTTATGTGTTATGTGTATACCAGTGGTACAAAATATGTTGATACTGGAACTAAAGAAACAACAGATAAAATTACTATTAAATGAGAAATTTATTAATTAACTCAATAAAAACTTGTAAACGTAGTTCATATATACTAAATGAAACACTTTTATGAAATGAAAATAGGTCAAGGCTTTCCTAGTATTTATATTTTAAGTAAATATATATTATTTTTAGACAATATTATATTAATTTTGAATATTGAATTAAAATCAAATTCATGTATTTAGTTTTAAACATTAATAAAAGGTCAAAAAATACAAACTAATTTCAAAGTAAAATACTCCATTAGATACATGTCAATGAATGATGTAAATTAATTAACTCTTAATTAAATTAAGCCTTGTTGAACCCATCATATTCAATTCATTATATACCACGTTTGCAAGTGGTGATAAAAAAATAGCTTGCAAGTGGTGATAAAAAAATAGCGGCCCACAGTAGATACTTAATTGGAATTAATACTTTTTAAATAAGTTTCTCGATGTACAGTTATAAAATAATAAAGTAAAATAAAGGTTAGACAAGCTTTTTTTTTTTAATTTTAATAAAAATAATTTGAAGAATTTTATTCAACAATTTTTGAAAATTTTCTTAACACCTAATATTTATTAATCTGCTATTTTCAATATCTTCAGTCCTAAGTTGAATTAAAAAAAAAATTAAAACGCAATTACTAATAATTGAAAATAATATGTGCAATGCACGTCAAAATACAGTTCTCATTGAGGATGATGTCAAAGGGATGGAGAAATGAACCTCCTACAAAACTTATCTACCATAAAGTGTAAAACATATATCAGCTTCATCTGAAACTGCCTAACCTAAATCATAATAAAGTACACCGATAGGGTAGAAAAATGGGCTATCCTAGGAAAATTTCAGATTAAAAAAATCAAAGTATGAATTTTCTCAGTTTAGCTGGTTCTACTAAATCACTAAATCACCGTGAGTGCCAAAACGAAATGGCCCTTTAGCATGAAACTTCACTTTCTTCCCGTGGCTCCAGCTCGTGGCTTACCTTTAACCTCAGACTCCTGTTCACATGAGAAACAAGGTTAGTCTTAAAATGGGAAAAAATTTTGAAATAAACGATATTTAATATTTACAGGACACGAATGAAGCATCCCTCAACTTAAATGGGGTATCCCTCTTAAAAGCGAGTTGATCATTGTTTAATCATATTCCAAGTGAAAGAATAACAATTGTTTCATTCTGTTTCACTATTTTACATTCATTCAGTCTCATACATCCATTGAGTTGTTAAATATGTTCATGGAAAGATCATACAACTCAAGCATGCATGTGCACGTATGCATAGGCCTACCTGTGGTAAGTGCAAATAAATGTAGTTCTTCGCTGTAGCTGGATTGTGATTTTCTGCACCCTTGCTCCAATCATAACAAACCTAAATAAATGAATGAAGGTTTCAGAACCAAAGAAAATTAAAGGATGGTTCACGTTTGTATGTCAACAAAAACAAGCTAACTTTATACTTTATTTTCCAAGCAAGTTCATGAAGTTGATGAATGAAATGTGTGCCATACGAGCGAAAGCAAACAAGACAAAGACTTCAATTATATAGCCAAAACATGCATCTCAATCAGATTATACACACCACCGCATGCCACTGTCGGCTTATAACCCAAATGGTATCCGTTATAACTTTATCAAGAATTTATGGGTCTCCGATATTTTCCGTTATCCAATATCGATAACACTATTGAAGAAAATGATTGAAACAATTAATAAGTCCTCTCGATCATGTACCTTGTCCATTCCTTCAATACAATTGGGCATCTGTCATAGGGTGTTTGGATTCTTGAGTTAATAGCAAATAATCACATGACTTACAATTGGGCATGTGTCATAGGGTGTTTGGATTCTTGAGTTAAAAGCAACTAATCACATGACTTTGTTTCCTTGTTTCCTATTCATACATTAAAATGAATAGTGAACTCATTACAACTGCAAATGATAATAGATCATACCCATGTGTGGATCCGGGAGTATATTGTTAGAATCATCTCTTGAATTAAATGGCGTTTTATATGTCCCACAATTGACAAATAATCTTATCTGTACAAAAACTAACAAAAAAGACTTGAACTGTTCAGTATTCGTTTATCTTTGTATTGTGTCTTTCAAGAACTTGCCACGATGAAAATGGCCTTTTTTGTATAACACATGCTTGAAGTTTACAACCTCATGCAATAAAATTGTACTAAATAAATAAAAACTCATGATACACGTCATATATACCTAATATATCCATCATTTCACCAGAACTAGTTTTTTTTTGTTAATGGTTTATTTTCTTGCATTCCAATAAATAATATCCAAAGCTCAAAATGTGCAGTATTTCAATTGACATTTGTCAATTGTTGCAATGCATCTAAAACTGGAGTAACAGGAGAGTCAAAAGGGCTTGGCTGATGGACTATGTTTTTGGATGAAAGATTGAAAATCAATCGAATCAAAGACTTGTTGGCTAGGAGTTTCAAGCTTCGCTCGTCTTTCCAAGTAGCAATAAAACGAGCAATTTACCCTCAATTTAATTCAATATGACGTTTACAGACCCATTTTAGATTCCATCTCTAGGACTAGACGACTATATTCATGTCAGATGAACATGTGTTATGACAAGTAAGTCGAGGCATTCCCAGTCTTGATTTCTTTTCTCTGGTCAAAAATAAATTTGAGAAAAACATAAAAATTAGGACCGATAATGGTACTAGAGATATGAACCATGAATTCTCCAAATTTCTGTCCCTTAATGATATTGTTCATGAACTAACATGTGCTAATACTCTAACAAAATGGGGCTGCAAAAGGGAATAATCATCATCTCCTAAAAGTAGCTAGAGCTCTCATTTTCCAGATATTTGTTCCTAAAACATACTAGGAAGAAATTGTGTCAAGCGTTACATATCTCATCAACATGTTACCCACTCATGTCTTTAGTGACATTTGTCTTACTGAACCGCTATTGTCTTTTGTTCCCCCTTCTCCCTTAGTGTCATGAATACTTTGTTAGGTCGGACTGTGTTGTTCTTGTTCACTCTAATAATCCTAATTGCAATAAATTAAATGCTATAGCTCTTAAATGAGTCTTTATTAGTTATCCTTCTAACAAAAATGTGTACAAATGTTATCAACCTCCAAGTCATTTGTCTTTATCACAATGGAACTCACTTTTAATGAGACAAAATCCTTTTTTGTCAGCCCAGCAATTCTGGGGAGAAAAAACCTGACGCAGAGGATCTCT